GGGGAGCCACTGAAGAGTTTGAGCAGGAGCGCAGCCTGATCCGACTTGGTTTGTTCTTTCCTTTGTACGTTTTGAGGAAGTGGGAATTGGACCTTGGAAGCAGGCACCATACTCACGGTGCTGTTCCTCATCCACCTTTACAAAGGCCCTGCTGCTTTTGTCCCCCATTGATTTCCTTTCTGTTGAGGTAATAGATTTTTACTGTTTGGTTCCACCAAGCCTTCGAGGCACACGTGAAATAAAATTAGAACTGTTGCTTTGTGGAATGTAATGAAGAGCAAAAGTTACCTAGCCCATTTTATAAAGCTATTATAACCTGATGCTTAAACCCGATAGGGATTGCACCATAAAATAAAACGTAAGACACAAGTAAATATGGTCCTAGACTTTCTAAAATCTTCGCTGAAATGTTAGCAACTTGAATTTGGCAATGTGTAAAATATCTTATGATCAAGTATTACCACAAACATATTCCTCCAGATAATCCATTCATGGAATTTAGCTGTTATGAGCTGAACTGGGTCTCCCCCAAATTCACATGTTGAAGCCCTAACCCCCAGGACCTCAGAATGTGACTGTATCTAGAGAAAGGGTCTTTAAAGAGATAATTAAGCTAAAATAAGGTCATGAGGGTAGGTCCTAATCTTGGATTCCTGACCTCTAAAATTATGAGAAAATAAATTTCTGTGGTTCAAGTCACCCAGCCTGCGGTACTTTGTCATGGCCACACCCTAGCAAACTATCACAGAACCACAGTGAAAGAGCAAAGGAGAAAATCTATAGAACATATCAGCAAATACAGTAAAAGTTAGTAAAATTCAACCTCTCTTTTAAAACTTTCTTTGAGGGGCTACTGGGTGGCTCAGTCGTTAAGCGTCTGCCTTTGGCTCAGGTCGTGATCCCAGGGTCCTGGGATCGAGCCGCGCATCGGGGCTGCTCAGCGGGGAGCCTGCTTCTCCCTCTCCCGCTCCCCCTGCTTGTGTTCCCTCTCTCGCTGTGTCTCTCTCTGTCAAATAAATAAATAAAGTCTTTAAAAAATAAAACTCTCTTTGAAGGGTAATGTACCTACAGAAAGGTATGCAAATCCTCAGTGTACAGTCAATGAATTTTCATCCACTACACACACCTCTGTGGATCAGTAAACAGAAGAAGCAAGTATCCCAGCGGCCTCCTCATGCCCCCTTCAAAATCAATGGGCCTGTTAGCTTCTGAATTGTTTCCCCTGCAAATGCATGTGCTGAAGCCCTAACCACCAGTATTACTGCATTTGGAAATAGGGCCTTTAAGAAGGTAATTAATGTTCAGTGAGGTCATAAAGTAAGGCTCCAACCCAACAGGACTGGTGTCCTTATAAGAAGAAGAAGGGACACTAGGGAGGCATGCATCAGAGAAAAGGCCATGTGAGGACAGAGCAGGAAGGAGGCCATCTGCAAACCGCGGAGATCTCAGGAGAAATCAAACCTGCCGACACCTTAATCTTGAACTTCCAGCCTCCAGAAGTATGAGCAAATAAATTTCTATTGTTGAATCCACCCAGCCTGTGGTATTTTGTTATGACAACCTAAGAAGACTGATAAATACAACGCCTCCCTCCTGTTTTTATTTTTATTACTTTTCATTATCGCCCGCCCTTGATATATATCCAACTCTTTATAAAATAATGACCTACAGTGGCATGAGGAGGAGGGTAATAAAAACAACAGTGCCTGGCACACCATCAGCTCGGAATAAGCCTTAACCTATATATCGTGGTGCTGAGCGAACAAAGCCAGACACAGAATGGATTTAGGGGCGTGTAAAGCAAGCACAGGTGTGCGTGTTCTGGTAAAAATGTGCACACACGTATGTTTTCAATTCACCTACACAGCCTTTGCAAAGATAGCATTCAAAGCTAACTGTGTTCTCATTTATTTCTAATTTTTTCGAGTAAGTCTTACAATTGTTTAAAATCTACCCACGCTGGTGTATGTAGAACTGGTCTGTGGATTCTGGTCGGCGCGTACTGTTTTCTCACGTGCCTGTGCCATATTTGACTTTTCCATTCCAGGGTGCCCCAAAGAGCCACAGTCATCCTGCTACCAAAGACAATGCTGGGGGGAACATGTTTGAACATGTCCCCTTAAGGAACTGTGCAGAGGACCTGAGTGCTCACCAGTGCGTACGGATACATTACCTGGTCTACATTCTGCGTGCTGGCTCTCCCCAGTCACGGCACCAGTCTACACCCCACCAACAGTGTGCAAGAGTCCCAGGTTCCCCACATCCCTGGGAACACTTGACCTTATCCGACTATCTATGTTTGCCAGTCCAGGGAGTGTAACAGTTCACTGTTGTGTTAATTTGTATTTGATCCTTAGGGACTTTGAGGGACTCTTCATTTATATTTATGAGCCAGTAAGTTTTCCTTCTCTGTGAATTGCTTATTTGTCAATGTTCTGTTGGGTTCCTGTCTTTTCCTTAATAATTTATAGGACTTCCTGAATATTCTGGGTTTTAGTCACATGTAGGTTTTAGACGTGACATCTGTTTGTGACACTTGTCTACAGCAGGATTTCACAATCAGCACTATTGACATTTTGGCCAGATACTTCTTCATCAGAGATTTGTCCTCTGCGTTGAAGGATGTTTACCAACATCCGGGGCCTCCACCCACTAGATGCCAGTAGCAACTCCCACCCAGCTGTGACAACCAAAAAAATCTCTCTAGATATTGCCAAATGTCCTGGGGTAGGGAACAAAATCATCCCCTTGTTGAGAACCATTGGTCTATAGGTTGTCTCTCCATCGAATGCTGATCCCATTGATTAGAAACCCATAATTTTGGTAAAAAATAAAATAAAATTCATTCATTTTTCATGTTATACTTTGTTTTTGTGGGTTTTGTTTGAAAAGACTTCGTCTCTCTCAGTTTATAAAAATCTTCCCTTACATTTATCCAATCAGCTTTACTGTTCAACTTTTGACATTTAAGTCTTTAATTTATTTGGAGTCCACTTTTGTTTTCCAGGTAAAGTAATAATGATCCAGTTTTATTCTGATATATGTAGTCAGCCAGTTTTCCAAAGCCATCTAGAAGTCATTGGAAGCTTTCCTGCCGATCTGTGGTGCTGTGTTTGTTACATGTCAAGCTCCCTTCTAGTAGGCATGGTCTGTCTCTGAACGCTCTGCCCTCTTCCACTGGTCTGTTTCCCTGTCTTTCCATCGGAATCCTGTAATTCTTCTATTACTATGACTCTTTCACATATTTTAATATCTAGGAGATAGGTCCCTCTTCTTTTTAAAAGTTGACTCAGTTATCTGCAGACCTTTATGCTTTTTAATTTCAGGATAAGTTTCTCGAATTTCTCACCATATCTGTCTGGAATTCTGACTGCAATTGCATCATACTTATAAATCAGTTCAAAGAGGTACAATATTACATTATTCTATCCTGAATATGGGCTAGCTCTCCATTTATTCAAAACTTCCTTTTCTGTCCTTTAATTAAATTCAAAGTTTTCTTCCATAGAGGACTTGTTTATTCCCTGATAAATGAATCCCTGGGTATTTTGATGGCTCCTATGAATGACATCATTCTTTCCATTATATTTTATGGTTGGTATTTGCTGGTATGGAGACACGCTACGGATTTTGAGTAGTTGATCTTGCATCTGGTGATCTTGCTAACTCCTCTTATTAGTTTTAAAAGAGGGTCTGCTGGTTCAGCTGGCTTTCTTTGGAGATGATCATAGGACTTTGTCCCTATTCCCAGCTGTGGGGACAGCTTTGCTGACGACCGGGCCCCTGCATGGGATCGGCAGTGGCCCAGGCTCACGCTTCAGGTTATGGCTCTTCAGTTCCTGCTCACCAGCTCAGCGGGGCTTCTGGGGCATCACCGTATCAAGGAATGAGGACACAAAGAATCACACAGAACAAGTTTTGAGCAGTGACATCATGTAACCATCACAGAAGCAAGGACGGCCACGGACTCTCCTGGCTCTTGAGCAGAACTCATCCCTTACACCTTACACCTAAGAGACTCCCTAAGATTCCTAGCCATTTTGGGGGGTAGCACAGAGCCTCCAGGGGGAGACAGGGAACTTCCTGCTAATCGGGGCAAAGGAGAGCTCATACAATTCATTCAAAAGAAATTATAAACAACCCGAGTGTCCATCCACAAAAGAACAAATAAATAAATTATAGTATGTCCACGTGGTGAAATACTATACAGCAGCGAAAAAAATGGGTGAACAAAGGGATTCCTTTGTAAAATATCATGTTAGGTGAAAACAAAAATTGCAGAAAAACACACGCAGCGTGACATAATTTAATAGAGTCTTAAAAGCCCACAAAGCAATGCGATACAGATGCATGCATGCTGAGGCAGTAAGAGTAGAGGAGAAACGGCGGGGGCTGATAAAGACCTTATTCTAGGGACTGGTTTCTTGTTGGGTGAAAAGGTGGTGGGGAAGACATAATAGGGAAGAGATACCCAGGGGTTTCCACACGATTGGGAATGTGTTGTTTCTTAGGAGAGGTTGGGGACGCCCAACTCCCACGATTCTTTAGGCCCTTCTGCCTTTAAGATATATTTCCTAATAACTTCCTTTGGCCATGTTTAGGCCCAAAGCTGCAAACACAAATCACAGTTATCGTATTTATGAACAAACCTGTCTCCCCCGCTGAGGCGTGCAGACACACGCCCTTGAGGCCAGAAGCAGCCAGCTAGAGGTGCCCCCAGGTCCCCAGCCCACTGGGTTTGGGAGTAATTTTGTTACAGAGAAACAGAAAACAATGACAAGGAAGCACTGAGTATTCTTGAGCAAAGCAGGGACACCATGAAAGTGGGATTTTTACCAGGCTACCCTGTGGCCCCCGAAGACCAAAGAGCTATATTTATTTGTGATCTACAAAGCCTTAGGTGGTTAGCACACACCCAGAAGAGCCTGCAGCCCCAGACTTCGTGGGCGGGGCAGGCGCAAATTAGTAATTTTTTACTTTTTTTGATCAATCTACTTGTGTCAAAGGGACACTCCCTGAGGACAAAACATCGACCTCAGGCTGCTCTGCAAACCTCCAGAACTCAGTTGGTCATAGGGAAAGAGCAGCTGATCTATGCTGCTTCCAAGGAAGTGAGGAGACCATCCCCAACCCGGCGGGAGATACCCTGCAGCCATAAAGGACCAAGTGGCCAAGAATGGAACCACACAGCCCTAACTTTGCAGCCTGGTAAGACACGACTCCAAGTTTGATGTCCCATTTACTATCTTAACCCATGCTTCCCGTTAGCACAGAGGTGAGGGGTGGGGTCGTGATGGCCAAAGGGACGCTGTCAAAAGCCACACCCTTTAGGGAAAAGACAAAGCATTTGGCAAAGGGAGCAGTCGTTTCCCCCTGGGCTATAGTTTCCAAAGCTGATTCAAAAACCAAACTCTGCTGCCAGGTGGAAAATGGGCTTTTCCCTAAAATAAGCTCTCGAAATTGTTCACAAATTGAGCACTTGTAAAAAGAGAGGACAAGTTTGGTGAAAGAAAGAGGCTCAGTCCCCTGGGTGGGAAATGTGTGTGTCTTCCTTCCTGTGTGCTGTCAGGAGCTCAGCTTGTGCCCGGGGCAGGGAGACTCTGCTTGCTAGGATCAGAGGCTTCAAAGCGAAATTTCACTCCCCCATTTTGGGGGGTGGAGTAGAGGAGAAGGGTCAACTATATTTGGGCACAGGTCACACTGTAAGAAGAAAAAAATGCCCGCCCCCCCCAACAACCAGCAAAACGGGGTTTGAGAGAGTTGCTGTTGTTTGTTGACATAGATCAAAATTGAAAGGACAGAGGAAGCCAGGCTCTCCTTCATTTAATGCAGATGGAAAAGCTGAGGTCCTGAAGGGGGAAGGCGTGGAGCCAAGGTCGTCTGAAGGTTATTGGTGGAGTCAGAACAGAAGCCAGGGGGAACAGCCTGGAAGTGTTTGAGCCTTCGGTTCAGAGGGAGAACGCATGTGAGGGTGAAGAGCTGTGCATCTAGGTGTTAGCTACTGCCGTCCCCAATTCCTGTAGGTCACACAAGATGCCGTGGAGGGAAGAGGCCTAGAAGACAGGAGCGGGCCCACCCGACAGAGCACGTGCACGGGAGCAGCATCTGGGTCCCTGGGAACGAGCTCTCTCACGTCTGGGCGCACCAGGGCCTTCCCCAGAAGCTGGGCCTGGGGACGAATCAGATTAGAAATATGGGGGCACACCACTTGAAAAAGAAGGGGTCCTGGGCTGAATGAAAAGGTAGAGAAAGGCAGCAGGGGGAGTGGCTCAGCACCGGAGAGTCCTGATGTAAATCCCAGCTCTGGCCCTTCCAGGGGCATGGCCTCGGGCCTGCACGCCCCGAAGCTTCCAGTTCCTCCTAAAATGGAGACCATAAATATGCATCTTGCAGTCAGCTAACGGTATAGAAGAAGGGCTTAATAAATGTTATTAGCTCCTGAATCCTGAGCTAAACAAAGACACCCCCCACCCTTGCATGCACGCGCACATAGATCTTCTGACAAGTCTTAGGGCTGTTTTTAGACCATCCCTTTAGCTGCCTTCATACATACGGGTCTTCTGATGATAGACGTTCTGGACACACCTTCAGTCTTGACCAAATCTGGCTCTCCAATGGACCAGATGAAATCTCAGTGGGTTGTGGAACAAAGACACCCCAGACTCTCCCTTCCCCCTCATTTCCACCATCCCTGGCTGTGCCCATGACGGCATAGAAGACAGCGGGCAAGAGCGTGGGTTCTGGAGTCAGGCAGTGCTGGGTTCAAATCCTGCCCCCGCCTTGAACTGGTTGGGTAAACTTGGCCAAGTGCCCACATCTCTAAGTCTTAGTTTCCTTTTCTGTAAAACTGCAATAACAACAAAGGCCTATTTTGCAGAGTTGCTGTGAAGTTTAAAAGAGAAGTCATCAAAGCCGGGTCGGCCAGCATTTGTGGTGGTTGCTGCTGGGAATACCGGACGCCATGAATTCAGGGCAGGCTGCCTTCCCCAGGACAGGTGGCCAGGTCTGGTGAGTCAGAAATTCTGCCCGTGCTGTGTAGTAGTGGTGTGATCCTGAGCAAGTCACTAAACCTTCCCCGAGCCTCCATTTCCCTCCTATGGACAATAGACATAATGCTGCCCAGATCTCAGAGGGCTTCTGCAAAATCCAGCTAAGACAACGGAAATAAAAGCAGTTAGAAGACTTTGTGGCCTGACTCCATCCAAGGATGAGTATTATTCAGATGTGACTGGACATCTGTAATGCGAAAATGCTTTCATCCCATAATTACCCAGCATGGGGGCAGAAAAAGAGATGAAAATTAGTAATGAGAAAGCCAAGAGGAAATCAAAGGATTTTAAAACATTCTAATGGCATAAAAATTCACTTGAAGTAGAACATCAGAATGTCATCTGAACTGGTTTTGGGTTGCTATCCTTCTCTTTCAGCTGAGATTTTTTTTATTTTCCAAGAATATTTGTCTTTTCTCTTTTCTCTCAAATTACTAAACCCTATCAACATTCCACTTAAGAGCTCTAGTAAGAACAATCATCCATAGGATTTGTCAGAAGCCAAAATAAAATTGCACGAGACAACATACACGAGGCCACTCTAAAGCAACATTGGCCATTCCCAAAATGGGATGAGGCAGTCCAGAGCCCCTTAAAAGCATCAGTTCCAGAAGTGCACTGTCTTTTCTAGGCCTTGAAAAGTAGCTAGAAGCAGGACACTCTGCATGCCTTTTGGCCTTTCAACAACACAAGTAGGTCAGTAGATTGGGATTCATGAGCACGGCCTTCGTGTTGAACAAAAGGAGTCTCGGAGGAGTGAAGTGACTTGCCCAAGGTCACACTGGGGATGAACAGGAATGAATACTTGTGTCCCTCCAGGGTTGGTTCCATGGGCCTCCACGCGGGAGACCAAGGGTGCCAGTCCCCACACAAAATCCCCTACTCAGGGAGGAATTCAAGACCTCAGTCTCCTACTGGAGAGTCAATGAGTGACTCAGTCACCCCGGGCCCGACTCCCCCACCTCCGACCTCCCCACACACACAGAGCGGCCCAGCTGACCACAACGGGGGCTTCTGACAACTGCTGCAGGTGGGCAGGCCTGGCTGTGACTGGAAAGCCAGAAGGTTCTGCCCCACAGTTTCCAGGATCTGACGTGTCCGCCCGCTGCTCACCTGCGGAGGGAAATCTCTCTCCCCAGACCTCATCAGCCCGTTTAAGGTAAAGTCATCTTCTGTAGCTCCCAGCCCCAGGCCCTGATTAGTCATGTCCCCTCCCATTTCCCTTTGATATGGGAATACAGAGATCCCAGAAATGGAGGAAACCACCGCCATTTTTTGAGCCCCACAAGGCCCTGTACATCTAGGCTACCAGCACCCCCAGACTTCTAAGAGTGGGGGGAAAAAAACAGACTATCTAACCCAGGGATGGGCAAACTTTTTCTGTAAAGGGCCACAGAATAAGTATGTCAGGTTTGGTGGATCACATCCATTCGCCATAGCATATTCTTGTTTTATTTTTAAAACACCCTTTAAGATTGTAAAAATCATTCTCACTCAGGGCTACACGCAAGCAGGCCTGTGGCAGAATTAGGCCCAAAGGCCATGGTCTGTGATCTCTGATTTATCCAACCCTCACATTGCACAGACAGAAAAACTGAGGTCTGAAGAGCTTATAGTATATTTGTCCAAGGTCACTCAGCAATAATGGACTGTCACTCATACTCTGATCTGACTCCCGGGCCACTCTGCCTCTAGAATTAAAAGTACTTTATTTTATTCTATATCTTCAAAAATCTGTTAACCCCTAGTTTTTAACCAAAATACTTAATTGCATTTTTGGTATTTAATAGTACAAATGCTGGGCAGGAATGCAATAGAAAAAAAAAAATGTTATTTAAAATCGAAACTACCTATGATTGCTTCTGCCTCCCAAAGACAAGTAAAAACATTCCTATCAGGGCGCCTGGGTGGTTCAGTCCGTTAAGCGTCTGCCTTGAGTTCGGGTCATGATCCCGGGGTCCTGGGATTGAGCCCAGGGTCACCTCAGTCTCCCTGCTCAGGGGGGAGTCTGCTTCTTCCTCTGCCCCTCCCCTTGCTCATGCTTGCTTGCTTGCTTGCTCTCTCTCTCACATTCTCTCAAATAAATAAATAAATAAATAAAATCTTAAAAAAAAAAATTCCTATCAGAAGAAAGATACAGCTGTGCAGTGCTCTCTTCTCTGGCAGAGTTGATAGAGAAAGGATAGGCTGATATTTCGAAGCTTGTCTTGGTTCTCACCAGTGAAAAGGCAGGTGTGGGGGGTGTTGAAGAAGACTGTCATTGCTCTGTTGTCCTTGTGCAAAGGGAGACCCCCAGGCCTAAATTGCTCTACTTAATAAAAGAAGGAGAATTGGGGGCTCAGGGGGGGAGGTCCCAAGAATGGGTACAAAGAGGGAGTTAGAGGAGAACACAGGACAGCAGAGGGACGTGAGGATGTAATGCAGACGGAATGGTAAGATCAGGGATGTCTGATGTTAGCATTAAGGAATTTGCATTAATAGGAGCTAACCGCCCCCCCCCCCCCCCCCCCCCCGCCTCACAACCGTCAAACCTCTCCTAGAGTGTGCGGAACACAAAAGCCTTCCTTGCAGGAGCATCTTTGTTGTTGTTGAGCAGATTGAAGGAGAGTGGGTGGATGAAGGCAGCACACACACAGGCAATCCGAGAACTGAAGGAACACATCCAGCAGAGTCAATGTCAGGAGAGGTGGCCAGGAAAATATGAGTCTCTCCTCACCGCAGAATCGCGAGCTCAGTATCCTTTCCCCTTTCTTCTTGCCATCAGAACCCCAGTCCTGTTGGGGGCCACAGAGTGCCCGACCCTGTTCAAGATCCTCAATTTCCTAGAAGGAACAAACATGGCTTGCACCACCACGTTCTGGCACGCGCACGCACGCGCACACACGCATGCGCACACACACACGATAGCTAGGGTACAGGAGCCATCTTGCAGTTATCCAGTAGAACTCTCCACCGTGATGGAAATGTTCTCTATTTGCACCAATTTCATGCAGTGGCCACTACCCTCCTGAAATGGTGCTGGCATGACCGAGCAACTGAGTTCTTTGTGATTTTTATTTTTATTGAATTTTGATTAATCTAAATTTCAACAGCTACTTGGCAGGTAGGGGCTACCTTATTGGACAGCTAGGCTAGAATCGTAGGATCTCTGACCCTGATTAGATGCCACTTACCCCCAAACTCATTGTGTAAGAAAAATAAATCCCTAATTTTTAGGTCACTGTAAATGCAGTTTTCTGGTACCTGCAGCCAAATGCATTCTAACTGACCATACTGGGGAGAGAGACTGGGAGAGCCCTAGAACTCCCACTGTCCAGGGGATCATATCCAAGCCATCAACCCCATTTTATTTGCATCTCATAGGACATCAGCTAACATCAGGGTAGGAGAATATCCCAAACAGAAGGGAAAGGTGAAATGGAGCCGTTCCCTCCCTCACTCAGATTCTCTCTTTGACCAAAGACACAAAGGCCTAAACAGCCAAGGTTGGGGGAAGCTGGCAACCTGGGATCGAAATGAATATAGAGGTAGAGGTACCTGGAGGCCACTGTGTGCTGGCTTGGATCCTTTCCCTGCTGCACTCACCTGGGGCAAGTCACTTCCTCTCTCTGAAGCTCATATCCCTCCTGTGGAAAGTGGAGGACAATCAAGCTCTTCCTGCCTACCTCAAGGCAATAAGGCATAGGGCCCAACTAAGAAGGGTTAGAAATACATTTCACACACAGCAAAGTGTGCTAGTGAGTCCCATAGAAGGATGTTCCTGGAAGGACTGGAGGCCTCATAATGTCCCAGCACCTGGTCTGAGACACAGGAGCACCTAACATCCTGGTCTGGTTGGCTCTTCAGATTCCATCTTTAAGTTGGAGAGAGTTCTACTAGCCTTACTAAGGGCCAGAGAGGGAACATGGGGTGGCCTGGAGCTGAAGGAGTCCAATTCTCATAAACAAGTACGGCGAAGGCACAAGGCACCAACCCCTTGAGTGACCACGTCAGGAGGTCCCTGGAATGACCGCAGATCAGTACCCGCAGACAGGTGCAACCTAACTGAGTCCTTATCACTGTCCCATGGGAGGGATTTACAGCCCCCCAGCCACAAGGGGGGGGCTCCAAATACAGAGTAGGTAGAAGATTAGCAAGTTTTCCAGGGTAGCTTCGAAATGGGGAGCTAGGAAGAATGGATCCCCTCCCAGGGAACAAAAGAGAGAAATCCAAGGGGGCAGAGTATTTGTGGAAAACAGTTTGGACCAGGAAAATAGCCTCTCAGCGGGAAGTATAGAGAAAGGCTTAATACATCCCCACCTTCGGCCATTACCTACCAACAATGCCAAAGAGATCCCTGTTGTAGTTCTATCCCTATTGTTTAAGGACAATCTCCCTTTTAAAGAGACATAATCATGACTCTCATGGAAATATAAAATCAACATGTATCAAAGATTTTGTTTAGCTCATTAATTAGTGAGGGAACTAGCGGGATGCCAGTACCGGTTTACAGAGTCACATATACGCAAACAAGAAGAAATGCTGCAGTGAAGTCACAAAAAGACACACAACTGGCTTATTCCACAAGGGGTGTGGTAAACCAGTTGTACTTCCACGGAGGGGAAAATATCATTTGTCTATCCCTGGACAAGAACCTTTTGCATTGCTCCTGTTACCTACAACTTAGACAGTTGTGAAAGAGTTCAAAGGCAGCGAAAGGCACAGAGGCTTCAGAGACACCCCGTTTTCCACTGAAGACACTCAGTCAGGTTTTCGGGCCAGGTCAGAGTCTGGCACCATCTGTCCTTCAGCATCTAGGCGGTACCTCTCAGCGATGTCGGTGGGATCGGCCCTCACAATGGATGCCAACATTCCAGGAAGCTCAGGCTGGGTTCTGGAGCTGGGAGACAGGATGTAAGCACTAAGGGTGTGCAATATAGGATTCTCCAGCTCAAAGAGACCAAATACTAAGGACTTTATCTTATAGAAGCAGAAACTGAGGCCCAGAGAGGAAAGGGTTTTTCCCAAAGACAGAGCAGAGCAGGAATGACACCTTCTCCTCTACTACATAACACTTTTTAAGGCAGAAGGACTGCAAAAGGAGATTCCAAGAGGCTACTCATGCCCCCTGGCCTCAGGAGGGTGACCACGGAGCCTGCCCCCACCTCTTCCCTGTGTTCTTTCCATCCCTGAATCATGCTTGCAATAATTCCTCCCTCCCTGTGCTGGACAATGTGAGGTTCAAAAGGCATGATTTACATAAAATGCCTCCTAGCAGGTGCCTCACTGGAGTCATTTCCCTTCCCCCTCCTGAGTGGCCCTGTGACCCCAGGGCAGCGACAGGGGTCATTCTGCTTTCACTCCCCTGAGGGGTTGCAACAAAACAGAAAGACCGCAGCCTCTTGCCCAGGATGAGTCACACGCTCCTTTCTGGCCCAGATTCAATAAACCCGGAACGGCCTCGAGCTACCACGGTATTTCCTGTGCCAAGCTGGCCCATTAAAATCAGTTTTGAGGAAACACACAAAAAGAAGAAAGCACACCAAAGAGTAAGTCTAACAGTGGCTCCCACCAGGAGGGGCTCAGGGGCGGGGGTCAGACAGTGGGTGGTAGAGACGGCTAGGCAGCAGTGGGAACAGGGACCCAGAGCCCCGGGGAATATTCCCCCCAGCACAGGGAACCCGCAAACAGAGACACTGAGTTTGTTTCCCAGCAGGCTAAAGTCGGCGTGACCTTCAAACAGCCCGCAGGGCAGGGCTCTGTGCGTCTTCTGGGTCCTGATATGACTGAGCATCCGTCACAGAACCATGTTGTGAGCAACTCGGGCTCAGTTCTCTGCCACAGTCTCAATTTCGGGGCATCCCTGATTTCCCTCTGAAGAGGCCCCAGGCTAGAAAGTGGTGGGGTTTTGTTTTGTTTTTTTCCAACACGCACACTCACACCAATGGGCAACGGAGCCTTTCCCCTTCTCTGGGAGGAAAAGTGGGCAAAAAGCATCAAAGTCAGACAGGAAGGGACCCCTAAAGCTTCGGGCTCCAGCCCGAGGACTTCTGCGGGGTCAACCAGAAACCCCAGTAAGGGCAGAATCCTGATCAGGACTGATCAAAATTCAGACCTCGGAGGAAGGCCCTGTCATTTCTTCTGACACTTCTGAGTTTACAGACCAGTTTCTTGTCCGATTTGAGAAAATCTGACCCTCTTAAGCCAGATGAAGAACTGGGGACACGCAGCTAAGCCAGAATTAGAACCCACGTCTTCCATCGTAGATGTCAGCTGTAGCGATGGGGAACTGAGGCCAGAGAAGGGAAAACAACCTGCCTGAGGATACCCAGCAGGTAACCAGAGGGGCTGGGATTGGAACCTGTGTCCATCCCAGCTCAAAGCTCTTGCATTCTACCACCTTGCCTCTCTCCTTGGAGATCGCCAACCACAGAAACTCTATCTGTGGAACCAAAGACATTGCTTCTTAGCACAAGGATGGCAAACAGATTTCCTCTGAGGTGGATGGGTTGGCAACGGCTGCCTGGAGCTCCCTGTTGAGAAGACCACGGGTGGACGTGAGCTCAGCAGAGAAGGGGACATTCGCTGGGCCGTGTCTGCCATCAGTATTAGAAGTAGACTGGTCACTCTCGATTTCCTGTCCCTGTCCAGATTCTATTTTCACTCCCTTTTCTCCTGTGTTGAGTGGCATTACTGTAGGCAGACCATGAAAATGGCAGAAAACAGTCCAATCTGGAGCTCAGTCTACTCCCTGAGACTGACAGTAAGACAAATGTTGACCTTCAACTCCTGAGGGCTGCCATCTTTAGAAGAATTCCAATCGCTCTTGGAAAAATCAAAGTTCATAGCTTGAATCCATAGCTACCCTGGGAGGGGAAGTGCCTCCCACTATGCGAATTTAACATATTTCTCTGCAGTGGAGTGGATGGCTACTCCCAATTCTTCCCGCCTTGTAATTATTATTAGGACTACATATTCTTTTTGCCCTGTGACTTGACACTACCTCTGAGTAGAAAAGGTAAAGTACGCATCCAAGCCCATCAACACTTAAGAAGTTGATAAGAATTTGAGCTGCTTCCAGCTTGCTGCTCTGCTTAAAGCCGGTACGAGAGCCAGGGCCTTTCCTGTTCAGCCTGTATCTGGTCCCCTGGGGTGATGGCTAACATGGATAGCCGTCCTAGCAGTGGGGAGACTGAGGGCAAAGAAGGACAAGTGATCCTCTGTAAAGAATGAGAAAGTGATGCAAGGTTAGGGTCTCTAAAGACTCACTCCCAACTCTAGCACCCCGGATGTCTCCCAAACCAATACTCTAGAGTCAGCATTTTCATCCTATTTAGAAGAACACAAACTATAGGTAAAGAAATCATTGCAAATCATGATCCCAGAGGCAAGCCCAATCCTGGCCAGCGTCAGCAAGTGAGACCGGGACTATTGCTTCTCTCTGAAGAAGTAAGACTCCAGATGCAAGGATTCAACTCGAGGAATCAGCAGGTGCATCTCCTGTATTAGAAGGTCTCATTCTGCCCACAGGCATCATTGTCCCATTTGAATCAAAGTGACAGGACCAGAGTCCCTGGGCCACGCTCCTCCTAAGATCGATTTGCCCTCTGATCAAAGGAGATTTGAGGCATTCCTGGGAGCCCTTCCATCTCACAGCTGTCAGCGCTGGGTGCTGACACCTTCAATCTCATTCCCATCTTGAATTCTTAGTAACATGAAATCACAAACCATGCACCAAGACAACAAAGTCCTCTCTTCGATATTCCAGTGCAAGCCACGGAGAAAAGGGCTAAAAAGATTGAGACAGAATGAGACAGGCCCTGGATCTACTTAAAAAACTTACAGGGGCGAGGCTGAGTGTGCTCAGGTAATGAGCAAATGAAATAGCTTTTGTTCCACTTTCCCCTGGGACAACATTATATGACATTGTTTTCTCTCTTCGGAAAGCAGATAGAGAAATATGTTTTGAATTAGTGCTTCTAGGAACCGGGAAGTCACCATTTAAAGGGACATGACCTGTGTAGGATGGAAGGACCTGATCTGATGCAATGGGCAGAGGAGGATCCAGGGTACCAGGTGGTCCCCTGAGATTGGGCAAGTCTCTTTCCTCTCCCAGTCCTCAGTATTCCCCGGAATTTGAGGGTTGGGGAAGGATCAGAAAAGCCCAGCTCAGGCATTCAGAATTCAGCTCCTCAGAAATTGTCCTGCTTTGGTGCCCTTGACCTTGACCCTGAAAAACCAGCAGGATCTGCAGATGGCAAGGAATTGGATCTAATTCTGTTTGCATTTAAACCAACTAAGCAAACAAAGCATTTACTTTGTGTTGAAGATTCAGGAAAACGGCCAGAATCACTTCTATGACAGAAGGAAAATGACCAAGTGTATTCATCCTAACATCATCGAAACAAATTAAATTTTTCCCCGACTTTGAGGAAAACATGGTCACACTTAAGTGCTAAATCTCTTGCATCGACTATTATGAAATTTAAAATCATTAATTTTCACATTAACGATGTTCTGCTTTAATTTCCACACTAACCATCATCTTATGACTTTCATTTTTACTCCAGGCATCATTTTATGACTTACACAAATACTTAAGCATTATTGTGGAAGTATTTAAAGCAACTGATGACAAAAGATCTTCAATACATATAATAGAAAACTAAATTACCAAGTTTATTACCATTGGAGGAATTTTCATCTTCTTGAAGAACATATTATCAGGGGGCACCTGGGTGGTTCAGTCAGTTGAGTGTCCAACTCTATTTCCGCTCAGGTCATGATCTTGGGGTTGTGAGATCGAGCCCCACGTCAGGCTCTGTGCTCGGTGCGGAGTCTGCTTGTCAATCTCCCTCTGTTCCTCCCTCCACACCCCCAAATAAATAAATAAATAAATAAACAAATAAATAAATAAAATCTTTTTTTTTCCAAGAGAATATTATCAGGAGCTCAAACATGAAGACTGAGAGAAAATGTATTTGTTGTAGCCTTCTCTCTTGCTGACAAGTACTATAATACTTGGAAATTGCCCAAGAGAAGCTCTTATTTGTGGTGTTATTTTTTCTGACTTGGCAGAGACAGCACTGAAACCCGGGTCCCTTGCTTCCTAGTTCAGTTCTCAGGCCACAGCACAACTGTCTTCATGTTATGAATTAGCTCTCTCTGAAAAGGCTTCTTGTCTCCAAAATAGGACTCTTCCCAACCACTAGGTAAAGCTTGTGAAGGCTTTCATAATGACTCACGCAGAAGCAAAGATTCCCCAGCACAGAAGCAAGTCATAATATAAACACCCCACAGCCTGGGGCTGTGACAAAGCTCTGGTCCCAGTGTGCCATGGGCAGTCCCCAAACCAAGATGGCCCCAGCACGGCTAACCCCAGAGAGCACTAGAGACTTAGGAAAATGCCCTCTGGTGACTCCTTTGCCCTTATCAAGGGCACAGTGAAGAGAACTTCCTCCCACTGTCTGCCTTTTTTCTCTCTCTCTTTCCACCCATCCCTTTTTCCCTTCAGTTGTCTGTCTGTTGTAGACCGGATCCATTAAGGCCCCAATTCTCATCCCATGCTATGCCCATACCTTTGCCGTGTAACAGTGAAGCACTGTCCCACTCTGTCTTTGGCTCCTACTCTGAGACTTGTTTTGGCCAATGGGATGTTAGCAGACATGTCCCAAGCTGAGGCAAGAAAAATTACCGGCATGTTTCCACTCATTATTTGTGGTCTCTTCCACAAGTGTGGGCTAGCCTGCTGGGATATGAGAGACACATGAAGCAGAGTCAAGTCACCCTGGCTACAAAGTCATGGCCACCCTTGATCATCCAGTAGCTAGCCAATTCTCCAGACGTGTGACCAGCTCAGCCAGTTTCAACAGGGCTGACTAGTTGACCACCCCAGACATGAGTAATACACAGGCATTGTCATTGTCACCTACTGAGGTTTTGTGGTTATTTATTACTCAGCACTACTGTGGCAATAAATAACTGATACAAGACCCAGCAACATTTGACCAGTGTCTTCTACGTCATAGGCTGACTTCTGAACAGTAGAGGAAAATCAGTCATGGCCCTTCCTCTTGGGATTCCAGGCTACTAGAAAAGACACACAGAGCACCTTTCTATCTAGGAGGATCTTGTCCCACCACCCCCTAGCAGAACTCCCAAGACCTAGCTTCTGTCCCCTTACCAGTAAGAACACTGATCTGAAGGCAGAATGAGGTAGTGGCATCTCATTAAAGACAAGGTCCTGGTGCAATTGACAAATCATTTTTAGGAAAAAACAGCTGTTAATCACACATGGTTTTATTCTCCCACATAAAAAGCCCAGAGGTGAGCATTCCAGAGAGTGTATAATGTTCTGCAAAGCCACCCAAGATCCTTACCTGGATGCTCCACCATCCTCAGCAGGGCTTCCACCTCATAATCCATGACAGCTGCTCAAGCTCCAGCTATTACCTCCACATTCCAGCCAGCAGGATGGAGGAAGGACAAAAGAATGTTTCCAGAAGTCACACAGGACACTACCACTTATATGTCATTGGCCAGAACTTTGTCTCATGGCCACCTCTACTGCAAAGAAGACTGGAAATGAAGTCTTTTTTTCCAGACAGCTCTATGCCTAATCACAAATTGGAGTTTCTGTTATTAAGAGGGAAGTGGAGGATGGAAATTGGGAAACAGTTAGTAGTTTCTGCTGTAAGTACAAACTGGTTTTAGTTCAAAAAGACCTAGGTCCACAAGACAGCTCAACCAGGGGCTCAACCTCTAACTTTGGGAAAATGCTTTCCCTCGTTGGGCCTCAGCATCCTAACCTATATCTTGGGGCAAGGGAGAGAGGAGCAGGTCTGCATGGCCTCTTAAGTCCCTCTGGCTCTTTCCTTTCCAGGATCATAGAGTAAAGATTCTGAAGGGATTGGCCTTCCATCAGATGCTGGCAGAGATACACCTATTTATACACTCAGGTGACATTTCCCCCTCAGTCTGAACGCATTTATGGAACAAAAAGGTGAGCATCAAGCACAAACTTGCATCAGACATATGGAGAGAGAGCTACATGAGCTCTTTCATGGCCGCTTTTCAAGTTATATAGAAGTGGCAGTCTTGGGGGTCTAGAAACCTCTTGGCTGGCCTGAGCCATAACCCTCAGGCACCTAGTAATGGTCAGAGAACAAAGATTTGATTATGCTGTTCAACTCCTACCCCAGACCCAGTACAAGGAAGCTGTGTGACTCAAAAAGATTTGAGAAGGGACAGTCAGATATGCAAAATCCAGCCGGGCAATGTTTATGTGGCCCTGTTTAGAGAGAGAAGAGAGAAAAATACATTTTAATTTACCACCATCAACTTATATAGCCTATATGTGTACTTTATAGAGGGAAGAAACCATTGCTCGGAGTCTAATTAAGACCTTCTACAAGTGTTATAAAGCCTTACAATTCTGTGATTAAACTACCTACTCCCTTGTGGGCTGGGACAATATCTCAAGGCTTTCAAATTTTATAGAGTAAAAGTGTCTTCCATCTAATATACATAAAAACAGCTTCTTTCCAAAAATGCCTAGATCTATGGGCTTTGTCTTTATCTACCTGGAAATCATCGTTACTGGATTTGTGGCCAAAGTTATCGCACTTTTATAAATCAGACGCATTTAATTTCCAACTCCAAAATCCACTTACTTTCAGATTCAAGTATTTATTTCTCTATCTCCTTGGGAGGAAAAAAAAAATTCAGAATGACACTGAAACCCAGGGCCAGCAGAACATTCTGTCTGCCATGAAATTCATGGCTGCCCTGAATTTTGTATGAAATGTCCGAATAACAAAAACAAAATGGCAACATTAGGTGTGGAATGTTGACCCGGAACTTTGAGTTCAACATCTCAAAGAATCCTTAAAAAACTCAAAGAGGTATTATGATCTCATTTATAGGCACGGACATTGAAGCTCAGAGAAGCCACATAGCACGTCCAAGGTCACACAGCCAACACACAGCTGAGTTGAGATTTCATCCTCCGTAGTTGCTCCAGAACAAAGCACTGAGTACAATCCCTGGCACATGGTTAAGACTCATAAATGTTACTATTATGCCAACTCCCCATGAAATGATTCTTGGCAAGGTGGTCTCGAGGTGGGCTCTAACCCCATGTCATGCTGACATCCGCAGGAGAAGTCATTCTCCTGTGGGGTACCAGCCCCCCACCAACCTACCAAAACCAGAGGATTGGTCTTATGTTGTTGGTTTCTGAGAATGTTGCATTTCACTTTTTAGGGTTCCATCAGAATAGTCTTAAGAAATCATCTCTTCCATATCCCCAGGGAGCTAACAAACCATATTGGAAATCAGTTATAAGGTTAAGTGAAGAATCATCATGAAAAGGGAGGAACCTCTCAGTGGTGTCAAACCTTCCTTCACAAAGAGCAGCTTCTAACGTATCCACTGAGACCACCGATGAAGCACATTTTAGATGGTCAGATGTTCGAAATGGAAAAGGTGCTGCATGTTGCATGCCCAGCAAAGGACCGAGAAAATCCTAGAAGAATGGATGTGGAGACACCAGTAGATAAATCCACTGACTTGGAAACCTTGAATCTCCTTGACTGTTTTCAAAAATGTGCTTTCTACAAGAACTTGGAGTTTGCCTTATCGCACAGGGCTCTCCTGCCCCCCCTATATGTTTTCTCACCTCCCCTCTGTTTACTTCTTTCAAGCAAGGCAACAAGAAAGAGAGATTCTTACTCAAATCCAGTTATATTTATGCAACATCTTCCATGTCTATATGGCACTGTGCTGGGATCTGTGTGTAATATAAGGAGATATAATCAATGGTATTGCTGTTCAGATGCCAAAAGCTTGCCCACTTATCCTTCGGTCTAGTTACCATCCCCTCTGGGTCAGGTAAAATGATGGAGCTTGTGAGCACAGGGATGTGGGTGTCCACACAGAGGCAGCCCTGTGTGACACCAGGGAGGGCACAGATGTCCTTCCAAAACCCAGCACAGAGTGCCATGCAACAAGCAACTTCATACACGCGGGTCTTCCCACCCTGGGCAAGGCGGGAATTGGGGCCGCCATCTTAGACATGAGCACATGAGACACAGAGAAGGGAAGTGATTTGCCCTGAGTGGAAAGAGCAGAAGTGTGACTGCACCGAAGGGTGAGTAATCTTTGGGGCCGTGGACCTCCCAGATGACTTGGTGTTAAGGGGAAAACATCCTTGGAAGGAATGGGGGAAGCCCACATTGTCTCTGCATTATAGGCAGCCCTACACGGCCGTACACCATCCGTCTCTACCTGCTCCCCTAGAAGAGGAGGGAGGACGAATATAGTTCAGCACCAAGAGGGATTGCCCACCAGGCGTTCCTGAGAAATTCTGTCAGCGCAGCACCTCAGGTGAGAGAGACTTGCCAGGGGCACGCATCCCCTCTTCGGAAGCTCAGGCCTCTCAGTGGCAGCCCCAGAAGGCCCAGAATGAAGCCCTCTGTCTCTGCACCACAGTAAATCCTGCCACTGTGAAGCTTCACCGTAATAAAGAGATGATTCAGGAATGACTCAGAGAAACCATAGAATTTCAGAGATGTTCTCCTGGACCCACAGCAGGTACAGTGATGCGAGCTTTGTCTTCCTCCTCCAGCCTTTGTACTTGGTGTCAGATCTGAGTAATAAGTGATATATTAAATGACTGGTGACAGTCCTTACCCTTCCTTCCTCCCCACCCCCACCACACTCAGAAGCCAGCGTGACAAAATTTCAATACCAAAACCTTCACCGAGAACAGTGAAACTTTTCTTCTCTTCATTTTCCCACAAGTCTCAAAATGATACTGGAAATTTTTTTCTTTGTCTCCAGTGTAATTGAAAAATATGTCTTTATTTAGAAGCAATCCAAAAGTCAAGCCTATTTTTAGAATGTGAATTTACAGAGGATTTTTCCAAAGGGTTCTTAAGTATCGATTGTGTAAGAGCTACAAAAGGGTTTTATTTGTGACAATCACCTTGGGGCTTTGGAGGGGGCCCCGGGGTTAGGATTCCTGGAAATTGAGAAGCCTAAATCCTTTGAAAAAATAAACCAAATTTCCAGCTCAAAAAGTAGGGACAAGAGATGAGTTCACATTCAAAACGATGCTCTGTAGAAGGGACCCATAAATTTGTCCAATAACGTTTATTATATAGGTCACAGATCTGCTGTCACACAACGAAACAGTATCTCCTGAACTCCACGTAGTCACACAGCATCCTGACTCCACTTCTTATCTCTACCATCATTTCCTTAATCTTTTGCTTTAAACCGTCTTATTCTTTTACACTACAACAAATTTATAATCCTATTACATCCGTGGAGAATTTCCACACAAAAATAAAGACAACAGAAACAAAATAAGGTGCTTAAATTCTGGTCTGATGCTGGCATCTGCCAAAGACTCTGAGCCTATAGGCTGCTTTCTTTTTGTTGAAAAGGGAGATCAGCAACTGTTTATAGGCCTTACAGAGCGGGTAGCATCTAACTGAGATCTCTCGCTTCGTGTAATTGAAAGGACTACAAAGGTCCTTTCATTTCTCTTATATGTGGAAACTAACAAACGAAACAAACAAACTAAATTAGCTCATATGTATAAAGAACAGATTGGTGGTTGCCAGAGGTGAGGGGCGTGAGGGGTTTGCGAAATGGGTGGGTGGGGGGTCCAAAGGTATAACCGTCCTGTGATAAAATACATAAGTCATGCAATGCCATGTACGGCAGGGTTATTGTAGTTAATAACACCGTTTTGCATATTTGAAAGTTGCTAAGAGAGTAAATCTTAAAAGCTCTCATCACCAAAAAACACATTTTTGTAACTACTTATGGTGACAGATGGTAACTAGACTTATTGTGGTGATCATTTTCCAGTGTCTACAGCTATCAAATCACCTGAAACTAATATAGTGCTACTCGTCATTTATACCTCCATAAAAATAAATAAAAATAAAAGCGAAAGGATTAAAAAGCGATTCTCTCTCCCAAGCTGGGATTCGGTGCTACATAATATCATGTCCGTCCTCAACATTACATCCTCCTACTTCCCACCAGGGGACTGTGCCCCACACTTTGGGAAAATATCGTGGTAATGCCCGCATCTATAGCAAACATCCTGAGGACTCTAAATGATCAGAGCTCTTATTCAAACAGAAGTAAACCTAAAAGAAAGTGGAGTGAGCAATTTCAGTCTTTCCTCTCATGTGGACAGTACTTTGTGTATATAATGAGACCTCATGCCCTGTGTCTCACTTAACCACAACTGTGTGCAAACCACCCCAGAACTCAGTGGTGACAGTCACTTATCATCATTTCCTTGTGTGTGAGTTGCCTGGGGGTTGACTGATCTCAGCTGGGCTTAGCTGGGGTGCACATCTGGAGTGACCCTGATCCATGTCTCTTATCCTCCTCCTGGTCTAATGGGCTAATCGGGCCATATTCTTTTGTGTCGCTGGCAGAAGAGGAAGAGCAGAAGTGGCTTGAATTCTAACACTGTCCCTTTTGCCCACAAACCATTGACCAAAGCAAGTCACTTAGTCAAGTCCAAAATCAAAAGCAAGGAAACACACTCTGCCCATGTTCCATGTTGGTGCTGTGGCAAAGGTACGACCATAGGCAGGAGTGACGAACTGGAAGCAACGATGCCATCTACCACACTCCATAGCTCATCCAACCTTTCTGGAAATCTTCACTTGACTGTCCCTTACAGTATCAACTGCAACATGCTCAGAAGTAAATTTAAGCTCCTACATTCATGGTCAACTGATTCTCCGCAAGAGTGCCAAAACCATTCAATGGGGGAAAGAACAGTCTTTTCAACAAAAGGTGCTGGGATCACTGGATATCCCCATGTAAAACAACGAAGTTGGACCCCTACCTCACACCAAATACAAAAATTAACTCAAAATGGATTAAAGACCTACATGTAAGAGTTAAAACTATACAACTCTTAGGAGAAAATATAGAAGTAAATCCTCATGACCTTGGGTTAAGTGGTTGGTTAGACATGACATCAGAAACACAAGCAACAAAAGAAAAAAAATATTAAATTGCACTTCATCAAAATTAAACCCTTTTGTGCTTCCAAGGACACTACCAAGACAGTGAAAAGACAATCAACCAAATGTGAGCAATATTATAAATCATACACCTGATAACGGTCTAGTATCCAGAATATGTAGAGAACTCTTAAAACTCAATCCAACTTTTAAATGGGCAAAGGATTTTAATAGATATTCCTCCAAACAAGATGAACAAATGGCCAATATATACATGAAAAGATGCTCAACATCATTAGTCAGTAGGGAAACACAAGTCAAACTATAATGAGATACTACTTCATACCCACTAGGATGGCTAAAATAAAACACAGACAACAGCAAGTGTTGCCAAGGATGTAAAGTGAATGGAACCCTCATACATTGCTGGAAGCACTGAAAAATGGTACAGCTACTCTGGAAACAGGTGGGCAATTTCTCAAAATGTTAAACATAGAGTTACTGTGTGACTCAGCAATTTCACTACCAGGTATACACAGATATATATCTGCATACAGATGTATATATGTGTGTGTGTGTATATATATATATAAATATATATCTATATCTCCAAGAATTGTCTATGTATGTGTATATATATATATATATATATCCAAGAAAAATGATAACATGCCAATCAAAAGACTTGCACACAAGTATTCATAGTGGCATTATTCACAGAGCCAAAAAGTAGAAACAATGCAAATGTCCATCAACAGATGAATAGATAAAATATTATATATTCATATAAGGGAACATTATTTGACAAATAAAGGACTGATACCTGTTACGATATGGATGAACCTTTAAAGGGGTTACGATAAGTGAAAGAAACCAGACACAAAAGACTACATGTTGTAGGATTCCATTTCTATGAAATGTCAAGAATAGGCAGATCCGTAGAGGTAGAAAGTAGATTCATAGTGGCCAGGGACGGGAAGGAAGGAGAACAGAGAGTGACTACTAATGGGTATGGAGTTCCTTTTGGGGTGATTGAAATATTCAGGAATTAGTGGTGATTGTGGCATGACTCCAGGAGTGTAATAAAAACTGCATTTTCTAGAAGTGTGAATTTTGTGGTATATGAGTTATATCTCAGTAAAGCTGCCATTTTAAACATGAATTTAAAAAACAATCCAATTAGAAAATGGGCAAAAGGCACCAAGAGACATATTATCAAAGAAGGTGTGTGGGTAACTAGCAAGTGCAGTAAAAGATATCACACACCATTAGCCATTAGAAAAATGCATATTCGATTCACAATGAAACAACAACACACACCTGGCTAAGTGGCAAAAATAAGAAATAGTGGGGAAAAAAAAACCCACTGGACGAGATGCAGAAAAATAGGATCACTCCTGCCTTGCCAATAGGAATGAAAAATAGGACAGTCACTCTGGAAAATAATTTGGCACTTCCTTTCAAAACTAAAAATGGATTTACCATACAATCCAGCGATAGCACTCTGGGGCCTCCAGCCCACAGAAATGAAAACTTATTTTCACATGGAAACTAGTCCTTGAGTGTTCATAGTAGCTTTGTTGGTGACAAAGACCAGAAACCATTTAAACATCTCTCAGCATGTGAATGGTTAAATACACTGTGATCCATCCATACCATGGATTATGACTCAGCAATTCTAAGGAATGAACTACTAATACACACAGTAACTTGGATGAACCTCAAATTATGCCAAGTGAGAAAAAAAAAAAACCCAGCAACCTCAAAAAGATACATAAGTACTGCATGTTTCCATTTATGTAACATTCATGAAATGACATAATTCTAGAAATGGAGAAGGATTGGTAGTTTCCAGGGGTTAGAGATGGTGGGGAGAGAGGGTAGGTGGGACAAGGAAGGGGTAACACACAGGATCCTTGTGGTGATGGTACTTAGGTGTCTTGATTGTGGTGTAGTCACATGAACCACACATGTAATGAAATTACACACAGCGATGCGTGTACGGTGTACGCCAATACGTGTATAACTGGTGTACTTTGCATAAGCTCTATGGATTGTAACAATGTTCGTGTCCTGGTTTTGATAATGTTTGTATGCAAGATGTTAACACTGGGGAAGTCTGGGTGAAGGGTTCACAGGACCTCGCTGCATATTTTTTGACAACTTCCTACAAATTTGTAATTATTTTCCAAACGAAAGTTTTTAAAGGCCTGAATTTGTCCTTATCCAAAAGTGCTCCTCTTCCTGACTTCTCCCATTTCACATTCACAGAGGCAAAAGCTAGACACAAAGGCTTCTGCCCATTCTCCTCATCCTCCCCTCTCAACATCAAATAATAATAATGACAATAGTGACAATGAAAATATTAAAGCCACGTTTATTGAGTGCTTCTTCTCTACCCTTCTACTTACAGCATGCAGGCTGAATTTATTCCTCACATCGACTCTATTACCTTTAAAATCATCCCATTTTAAAGGTAAGGAAACGAGGGGTCCAGGGGCTAATAACTATGGCCAAGGTAATACAGGAAGCTAAGAAAACAGGCCTCTCACCCTGGAGGTCTGACTCTATTGCCCATGAGCTGTGGAATCACCAAATTCAACGTCCACCCTCTCAATGCCGGCCCGTGTCTTAGTTCAAGATTTCATGACCCTCTGCCTAGACCAAGAATCAGTACAGGAGCCTGCTGGCTGGTCTCCTACC